ATTTTTTTGGGAAATGTTGCAGTGCAGCCAGAGCTGCAATTCCAAGCACTGCAAGCCAGACCTGCAGGAAACTAATAAAAGGCACACACACACACACACACACACACACGCACACACACACACACACACACCACACACACACACACACACACACACACACACACACGCATTTTAGAGGCTTACATCCATAGAGACTTCTGGTGGTGGTGTTTCGGTTTATGCTATAATCACTGTGTAGCATCTTAATGGATTCCCCGGAGGCTGATGTGGAAATTGGGGAGTGGGGATGTCAGGAAATTGTCCAGCTCTCAAATAAAGAACAAAGAATGACCCTGGAAATTACATTGTATTGTGCATGTGATTAACGGATCACATGACTTCCTCTGTGTTGGAACTAATCAGTGGCAGGTTTAAATGAATAAAACTTAAAATGTTCTTAGGCCATTGTTGCTTTGTCCCAGCTGCCTTTTGGTATTTCAGACTTGTACATTTTTGGCATGTTTCGGTAGTGGGGATCATTTGTTTTTCAAACCATGAACCAGGCAGATTTATTTATTGAATAATTTTTTTTTCCAACCAGGCAAAGGAGATCCTGACAAAGGAGTCAAACGTTCAAGAGGTGAGATGTCCGGTGACTGTGTGCGGAGACGTGCACGGCCAGTTTCATGACCTCATGGAGCTGTTCAAGATCGGAGGGAAGTCTCCAGACACAAACTACTTGTTCATGGGAGATTACGTGGACAGAGGGTACTACTCTGTAGAAACCGTCACTTTACTAGTAGCACTAAAGGTATGTGATATGTTCTGACATTTGACTTTGTCTAAACCTGAAATGTATTCATTTATTTATTTGAATGAGAATAAAAAATAACATTCAGATCTTTTCTCTGCTATTTTTTTTTTCTTTTCTCAGGTTCGCTTCCAAGAGCGCATCACAATCCTCAGAGGGAATCACGAGAGCAGACAGATCACGCAAGTGTATGGCTTCTATGACGAGTGTCTACGGAAATATGGTAACGCCAATGTTTGGAAGTACTTCACAGACCTGTTCGATTACCTGCCCCTCACTGCCTTGGTAGACTCTCAGGTAAGAATATAAACTCGGTTTCACATATGTAAGCGTAATGTTCTGAAAGAATCAAACATTAGTAGAGGAAATATTAATTAGATTCATGTTTTCCTTCCTCTCCCTCTAGATTTTCTGCCTTCATGGAGGCCTGTCACCATCCATAGATACACTGGATCACATTAGGGCATTGGACCGTTTACAGGAAGTGCCACATGAGGTAACAATGACATTTTAAATACATCTATAATATTTGAAAGCTAAATTGAGCTAATAAGAGTGTCTGTTTAAGTCCATCCAGCCCATAAACCAATTTGTTTCCTCCTCCTTGTCTCCTGTAGGGTCCCATGTGTGACCTGCTGTGGTCTGACCCGGATGACCGCGGTGGCTGGGGCATCTCTCCGCGAGGAGCCGGCTACACATTCGGTCAGGACATTTCGGAGACTTTCAACCACGCCAACCGCCTCACATTGGTGTCCCGTGCCCACCAGCTGGTTATGGAGGTATGTCACTGGCTCATTTGATGTGCATACAAATAATCCATCTGCTGCTTCGGGTGAATAAGCTCAGGAAAGATGGCTTGATTCCAACCGGCAGTCAGCACGCTAATATGAATTTAACTGCAACAAAGAGCCGTTACGATAAATAGCTCCTCCAACCTTTGGAAGTGCACTAACCGTACAAAAAAATGGAGTTGAAAGCCTCGCTGCTACAGAGAACAACGAGACAAAATGGTTATATCACCATCGACCAGTCATACAGAGTTCAAGGGCGAGTTGAGTTTTAGATTTGCATTAGAGTTGCAGTTTATTCTGAATTATACATTTCCAGTGAATAATGCATCTGCCTCCCTCAGGGTTACAACTGGTGCCACGAGAGGAACGTGGTGACAATATTTAGCGCTCCCAACTACTGCTACCGCTGCGGCAACCAGGCGGCAATCATGGAACTAGACGACACCCTAAAATACTCTTTGTAAGTACCGAAAAATTCTTAAATCCTTTAGGTTTTATTTTAAACCCTGTAAAGTCTAAGGCACGATGCATTCTGGTAGCTTTGGGACCCAGCTGTAATTGTATATAAAACATATAGTGGTTAACAAATCGTATTTATTCTTTCTACTCCTTCTACCCAGCTTGCAGTTTGATCCAGCGCCTCGCAGAGGGGAGCCCCACGTCACTCGCCGCACCCCAGACTACTTCCTGTAAACTCTGATTATTGATTGCCCTTTGACATTTGTACAGTATGACTTTCAACTGATGACAACATGAACTGGGAGGGTGAGAGACTTGGGGTGGAGCAGGAGGCACACCGGTACACATTGTATATCAACACACACGAAAAAAACAACTATTTAAGCATTTAGCAAAAAACAATGTCCGTGTCTGAGGATGGACCAAAAAGTGTGTGCCATAATCATAACAATATCCATTGCCGAGGACTTGTATTGCGAATCTTCCCATTATATGGAAAAAAAACAAAACAGAAATGTTTAAATTCCCTTTCCTGTTACTGTGTAGCTGGACTGATGGCACCGAGGTCCAAGACATAAATTTTGCTACCCTGAATGCGGCTGTTTGAGTCCCACGCGCCATGGCTTATATTGAGTAGATCTGAACGTGATCTGTTTGCACTTTTGTAAATGAAAAGAAATGTAACATATGTCAAAATATGGAAAAGATTTCACACTACAGATGTTTGTTGTTTTTTTTTTCCCTTTTTTTTTTTTCTTCCCAACCCAAGCTCTACACAAGGTTTCTTGTTCTTGTTTTTTTTAATTAATTTTTTTTTTTTGCTTTGTTTTGTTTTGTTTTTTGCAGTCACACAGCTTGGTGTTTAAGATTACATGAAGTGTTCATCCACTTCAGCTCACTGACTCCCTCTGAGCTACAGCATCTGTATTAACCAAACAATTTTATTAATAAAGACAAAGGTGGCTTCTTGATGTGAATATGCTGTTGTGTTTTTGTTTGTTTGTTTGTCCTCATATAAAAAATGTTATGGTTTGAATTACACTGTCCTTGCATTGTCCTGGGATTAAATTTCAATTTACATTTTTTGTTATAGCAATTTAAGTGATGATGCAAAGCCAATAATAAAATCTGGCAGATGCCTCTCAGCCAGATATCACTGTTTTATAGAAGGTGATAGCATGTGGCTAAGACTTCCGATGGCTGTCCTTGTCTCAGCAGAGCTGAAACAGACTGTTAGAGAAGGTGGTCAGGATCCACCATGATGGTTTGCTCTCCACCAGTGCTTCAAAAGTGTCCAGTTTGCTGCTAATCACAGAGCTAGCCTTGCTAGGCAGTTAATTTACTCAGTTGGTATCTCAGCTCTAAAGCTGCTCCTCCCCCAGCCAACCACAGTACAGGGAACGGCAGTCACTACATCTCAGTGATAGAAAGTCTTCATTACTTTGCTGCATCCATTGATTTTTGAGGAAACCAAGCTTGCCCTTCTCATTCTGGTATACAACCAGTTGTCTATGTAGAAGCCCAGGTACCTGCACTCCTCAACCACATTAACAGGGTGAGTACCGGCAGTGGAGCCGTCCTCTTCCTTTCTGAAGTCAAGCACCATCTTTCTGGTCTTGTTCACATTCTGAAGCAGGTGATTGCTCCTAGACCACTCCACAAATTATGAGGTGAAACCTCAAAGAACATTAATATCCCCAAAGATAAGTGATCTTTTATGAACTTGGATGCTTATAGAACTAATACATTACAATTTATTAAAATGTTGACTGTATCTGAATTTTATTTTTTAAATTAAAGTTTTTAGCTGTCATAACACCCACTGTGCATTTTTTTTTTTTTGTGTCCTACTGCAGCTAAAGTGCTGTGATGACTTACTATTTTGAAATTAAGTGGCATCAATTCAAGGATGACTTTCAATGAACACTTGAGCGCACCATGGAAACCGCTTGAGAGGATCCGCAATAGGGGAAAAGCGCCATCCAATGGTAGCTCTAAATACTACAATAAACGCTGCGGTTTGATAAACACCACATGCAGGGATATAATTTGGAAATTACTGTATGAAACAAGGCTTATTTAATATAATCTATCCCAAGTGAATCTTATATTCGTGAATATCTTTATATTTAAGATAGCATTTAGAATAACAGAATTTATGGTATTGCACTGATTTATAAACAATTAAAGTCACTGAAATGATTAACCTTCCTGTCGTGTTCGAAACGATGAGGCATGCTTTTAGCTTCAAAAGCTGAGAAATTTCTTTGTTATAATAACTGGGTTAAACACAAACTATAACAATATAGCTGAACTGATTAGAATAGTATGTAGCGCTATACATCCATCAATCCATTCTTTTCTGCTTATCCAGGGGGGACAGGTATAACGGTCGACCATCCAAAACAACGGACAGTGAAGAAAAGAGTACACAAGGGGGAGCAGGTGGTTATATGATATGGAAACAGTGACCCCAAACAAGAGAGGAGGCTTAGCTGGAGGTGGCAGAGCTGAAGATGTTCAGATTTTTTATTTGGGAGTGAGCAGGATGGACAGGATTAGAAATTGGTATAGCACAGGGACAGTTTAGGTTGAGCAGTTTGGAGATAAAGTTAGAGAGGCGAAGCTGAGATTTTTTGGATATGTGCAGAGAAGACAGAGTTGATATACAGGACAAAGCATGATGAATAGGGAGCTCCCAGGCAGCAGCAGAAGAGCAAGACCACAGACAAGGAAGAAAAGCAGAGGGTTTTTCTGACAGGACAGGATACTGGGGTGATGATTGAGATGATGCTCAGCAGATTGTTAAAGGGAACGACCAGAAGAAAAAGATTATAATTACACAGCAATGTTAAACATCTCAAATGTTTGAGATTTTGCTAGACTGTCTTAGTAAAAAACAGTCTAGAAAAGGTAGGACAGCATTAAAGTGGGCCAATGTACGCTTTAACAACCCCCACCAGGCGTGGAGAGGCATCCAAGCCCTCGCCAACTACATGGCCAGAGCCTTCCAACCCTTAACAGCAGCCTCAAACTTGCAGAGGAGCTCAACACCTTCTTTGCTCAGTTTGAGACCACCACTTGTCCTGCTGGTGGTCAGAAAATAACCTGAAGCTTAAAGTCCTTAAAAGAAAAGAACTCATAATGGACTTCAGGAGGCACAGACAAGTCCACTACCCTCTCATTATAAATGGAGAACAGGTTGACTCTGTCTTCATCTTCAGGTTTCTGGGCACCCACATCTCTGCTGATCTCACCTCCAGCCACAACACCAACATCCTGGTAAGGAAGGCCCAGCAGTGGCTGCACTTCCTCCTTGTCCTTAGCCAGGATAACCTGCAGCAGAAGCTGCTGCTGGCTTTCTACCGCTCCTCAGTGGAGAGCGTGCTCTCCTACTGCCTGGGTAGGCAGAGGCCACAACTGAGAACAGGCTGCCCAGAGGGTAATTAACACCACCCAAAATATAATTGGATGGTCTCCACCCCTGGAGACCATCACTAGCTCCTCCTGTCTAAGGAAAACCAAGACAGGTGACCCCTTGCACCCCGCTCACCACCTGTTTGACCTGCTGGCCTCTGGTCGGTGCCTCAGATCAGTGGAGGCCACACCTCCAGACTCACAAACAGTTTCTTCCCCTGGGTCTTTCGGACTGTCAACAAACACTATCTCTCTAATGTGTGAGTTGTTTTGTATATTGTATATTGTTTTGTATACATTCCCTCTTGGCTGTATATATTTCTTCTGTTTGCTTTTTATTCTTGCTGTCCGCCACAGTTGGTGTGGAGCTCCCACAATTTCGTTGTACACGTACAATGACAATAAAGGGCTATCCTGTTCTATGCTAATATACGGGGGGAAAGTATGCAAACCTAACATGCCTATCACATTATACTTATACATATATCTTGGAATAATTTAAGAGACTTGGGATATTTCAGAATACCAAAGGCAGAAGGACCCTGAGATTACCAGTCAAAGAAGGGTGGATAATTTGAGCCCATACTTAACCCCTCCACTACGAGGAAAAAAGGCGTATTAGTCGCCGGAAGGCAGGCTCAGGCTCTTAGGTTGGTCCAGGGACTACCACCGGTTGTCTGTGTTTGCGCGTCTGTCGGGTGCTGCTGCTGACTACAGAGGAAATTGACCTCTGGATTAGCGTTAAAACAGTCACGGTACGTAGCTTAGTTAGCCCAGGTTGAGTTTTGCAGCTTGGGATGAACTGCTCTTTGTTTAATTTTGCTTGTGTCTTTATTTGAAGAGCCTCGCTGTGGCTGCTAAGAGGCCTCAACTAACGTCGACATTAGGCGTTAGCTTAGCTATAACATTGTGCATGGTAACGCTAGCTTCCTGGTTAGCCTAAATTTTAACCGATAATATTAAAATATTATGGTTGAGCAAAAAGCAGCGAAGCCAACTTTTATGTGTTTTAAGTAATAACACGCAACAGCTTCAGTTGTCTATAAACTGTATTCAAATAAAAGGTAGCTGCTCGACTAGCATTGCCGCTGTTTAGCCCGTGTCGTCGGTAGCTAATCGTTGGTTAGCTTGAGGTAAGCTTTAACGTTTGTTTTGAGTTTGTCTAATACTAAGGTCCGCACAGGTAATTTTTAGTTATTTATTTAGTGGGATATTATTACCGTATTCGACTAATAATCATGTAAACGATCTTTTTTGCGATAGCTGACACATTAACTCCCAGACGTAGAATAGCAGATGCTAATGCGTGTTCACTACTAAGGTTCGTAAGTTTGGTTTTTTTTTTTTTTTTCAGAAGTGTTGTCTCCTTGCACAGGCTTTTAATATCTTAACGTGTTGCCTTATAGATAATGCCCACAATAAAACTACAGAGTTCTGATGGGGAAATCTTCGAGGTGGACGTTGAGATAGCCAAACAGTCTGTCACCATTAAGACCATGCTTGAAGGTAAGTGTTGAATCGCGGTAAACGTTTTGGTTATCAAGTCACAAGTGCCATAAATAGGACACCCCGCAGTTAACAAATATAGGGTTTATACTTCATTTAATTAAACCATAATATGGACATAGGCTACAAATGTGTAATGTTTGAATCTTTTGACAGATTTGGGAATGGATGATGAAGGAGATGATGATCCCGTTCCCCTTCCTAACGTGAATGCTGCCATCCTCAAGAAGGTACAGAATGCACATATTGAAGTGTCCAGTGGGTTTTTTGTTCACACACAGACTGTGGGTGGTGTTTTGTTGGATGTGGGAGGGGTTGATTCCTTGCTTCCTGAGATGCTATTAACTAATGACGTTCATGTCGCCTGCTCTGGAGAAGGTTATGTTTTAGATCCATGCTTCCCAAATGGTGTATGTTGTGAGGCAAATGCCCTTTCTTACAACCTTAGTTTATTATAATATGAGCAAGTGATGAATGAGCTGCTTATTTACTTTATCGGCAGACCTACTTGGTACACACTAATTTCCCATACATAGGCAAATTATATTTACCAAAGTTTAAGGTGGAACCCCAGCCTGTTGTGTGGCCTGACACAAAGGTTCCGATTGATAAGAAGGACGATGAAAATTTGAGAGGGGAGTGAATGACTTTCTTTGGTAAAGCAAGTAAACACTGGTCCACAGATTTTAAATGAATAAATGTCCGAAGAAAGCGGTGTTAAAGCTACCTCTCATGGCTTTAGGTGGTCAGGGTTGGCAGAAATTGTTTGGCCATATAATCATTTGCTAATCTAAAAAAGAATTTGGAAGAAGAGGCCATAGAATCTGTGTGCCTTGAATTTTTGGGCTTTGCTCGTGGTTGTAGTTGGGAGGCAAATGTAAATGAAAGCGCTAGCTTCTAGCCTGTGATGGTGTCCTCGAAGATGATGTAGACTTTTGTACATGGTGAGAGGGTCTAAGCAGAGCTCGTAAGTGGCAAAGAGTGGTACTTTGTGTCCTGCGGGTAAGCTCGCCTAAGAATTTGAATTGGGTTAGGTTGTCTTCCACTTATAGTTTTAACATTTTAGCACTGCCAGGCTAAAGCTGAAAGAATAAACTGAAATGATCTTCTGTGCCAGTCAATCAAAACACATCTTAGAAGCACATTGTAATAATCTAGGAAACTTGTGTTATAGCTGGACAGTGTAACAGTGTTATAGCTGGAAAGAGCTGCTGATGTATTTTCTGAGCGTAATGGGCTCAGATGTGGTTCAGAGTTTCAACAAAATCTGAACATCAAAGTTTTGAGGTGGACCTGGAAAAATGGACAAAATGCGATTTGTTTCTCATCCTCAGTTTTACCTTTTATTTTCATGCCAGCAAATCATCTAATCACAATTTTGGCAACAGAGAAGTCCTGATTTTTATATATATTTTTTCTCCTTACTACTCTCATTCCTACACTTTCTTACAAGGCGGTAACGACCTGGAATCTGTGTGAATTGATCCTAATTTGTGGCAAAGAATTGCCATTTAATTTTGGTATTCAAACCTTTTATGGGCAGTTTAAACAGCTGATGGGTGCTGTGCATAATGGGTTACCTTGGTTAAAACCACATGTTTATTTGTTATTGTCTGTCTTTCTTTTTCAGGTGATTCAGTGGTGCACTCATCACAAAGATGACCCCCCTCCTCCTGAGGACGATGAGAACAAGGAGAAAAGGACAGATGACATCCCTGTATGGGATCAGGAGTTCCTCAAAGTGGACCAAGGCACCTTGTTTGAACTCATTCTGGTAAACATACTTGAATTATTTTGCATTTTCTTTGGATTGAACTACAACTAACAGGTGTAAGCAAAACCTTGCCCTATACCTAACCTTAACAGCAACCCCTGCACATGGTTGATTATCACATCATTGCAAATGAGTCTTACTGAGTTGTCTATATTTGTATTGAAGCAGTTTTAATAGAAAAAGGACCTTTTTAAAACAAAAGAAAACAAAAACAGTGGTTAACAGATGCTCAGTTAAACTGCAAGCCTGTCAATGGTGTCCCTGCAGTTAGCTACAGTGAAGTATCCCTCCCTTTCTTTGCAGTGACTGTCACATAATCCCACTGATGTGTCTGTCACTTAATCCTCCTCCTCTGAGTCCTGAGCTGCTGCACTTCACCCAACTTTTTTTTTTTCTTTTTCTTTTTATTTATGTCCTTCTCCACTGCTTCTTACCTGGTGCCTCTGTCTTAAGCCAGTTTTTGGTTATGGCCTTCTTTGCTGCAGAAAGGAGAATTTTAGCCAAGTAGTGGTCCTTTACATGTACAGCACCTTCAAAGTATCCAAGATACAAAACAAGGCAAGTTCTGGGAATTATATAATCTAATATATCACAGAGAGGTGAGTGAATTTTGACCCAGAAAGTGTGAAATCTTTCTACATTTCTAGAAAATGTGTGTATGATCAGCTTCCAACACTGTTGTTGTGTATTGGTTTGTTTATTTTTAATCTTAGGTGTAATAAAAAAGCAAATTAGTTTTTTCCCAAATGAATTTTCTCCACTTTAATGATTGAGTTGTTTTTATGTTCTTTCCACGTTTCATACCACACTTTCTCAGTGATGTTTTGAAACCAAAGTCCAGTCGTCCTGGTCTAAATTTTTCACCGAAAGCAACCCATTTTAGCAATCCAAGCTCTTTACCAATTCCTAACTCCTTTACTGTGCCATATCATATATTTAATTTAAAGGATATTATCGGGTTCCTATCTTGGTCTTTAGTTATGTATTCAGGCGTCTTTTTTAATACCTATGTTTGTTTGAATTGGGACATGGAGTGTGGAGAGCTCCACATCCTTCCAGCGAGCCCCATAATCATCACTACACCAATATGTTATCTGGCGTATCTGTGCAGCATGAAAATATTCTTTTAAATTAGGAAGTGACATTCCTCCTTTCTCTCTCTCTCTCTCTCTCTCTCTCTCTCTCTCGATCAAAGGCCTTTTTCTTTGTCAAAACGTATCAACTGAGCCGGTATATTGTCTTTATGTAGTTGCTATATAATGTGTAGGGTCCTTCTAATATTATCTTGTGCCGGTTTATTTTTGACAAAACCTGCTTTGTCCTCATCTATCAGGTCTGGTATAAATGACTGGAGCCTATTGGCCTGTATTTGAATAGCGCTTTTCTAGTCCCTAAGGACCCCAAAGCGCTTCACACTACATTCAGTCATTCACCCATTCATTCATACACTGGCGATGGCAAGCTACATTGTAGCCACAGCTGCCCTGGGGCGCACTGACAGAGGCGAGGCTGCTGGACACTGGTGCCACCGGGCCCTCTGACCACCACCAGTAGGCAAACATGGGGTTAGTATCTTACCCTGGGATCGAACCACCGACCTTCTGATTAGTGGCTGACCTGCTCTGCCACCTGAGCTACAGCTACAGCCACCACTAAGACTGCAGTGTAGATTTTATAATCAACATTTAACACTGATATAGGCCTGTAATTTTGGCAGTATTCCTTTTGTGTTTGTGCTTTTGGTAGTACTGTGATAATTGCCTCCCTCCAAGAGAGGGAATCATATGTTTAGTGCGACTCTAACTAAAAGTCAGGTGGAGTAAGGGTATCAGTTCTTTTCCAGATTTGTTATACCATTCAGCAGGAAACCCATCACTGGATTTCACTCAAGTTTTAACGTTATCTTCTCTTTATTGGGCATAATGACAAAAGGGTACGATATCACAAGCTATAAAGACGACACTATGCTATGTCGTGTGATTTTAATCGCTGTTTCGTAAGTGTTCAGGTGCTTTCCCAAAAACTGCCAAAAAAAGAACACAAGCTATTCTCTGAAACTACTTTTTAATGGTTTGTGGGTTTGTGCTTCACAACAGTGCTCTCGGTGCCGCATCAGAACTATGATGCGGTCTTAGGGTCAAAAGCTCAACAAACCTACCAACAACTTTTGACATGTGGTGGCGGCGGCGGACAGTAAAAACAAGACCTTCAGCTGGCTGGAGGCAGAGAAACCAAAGCAGAAGGAAAGTTGATGTTTTGCGTTTCAATTAAGGGAATTATTCCACATTTGTTTGTATTGACCACAGGAGGCAAACGCTTTTCTCATGCACTCTGTGTGTGGGGTTTTTTCCCGCTAAACAGGTCTCGAAAGGCTTGACATTTTTATTTTTTTTATTTATTTTTTTTTGTGCTTGAGGTTTTAAATGTTAAGGTTGTGCTTTACACTGAGAAGTCCAAATACTTATGTGAATTAATGCATTTATAGTGTTGTAGCTTGTGTTGTATAGTTGTCTCCCAAGTACTCTGTGTGAGAGCGAGGGAGAGCGGCGTGCATTCATATAGTTGAGCTGTGGAAATGGCATTTATTTTTCTTTATGTATTCAAACTTCACAGTTGGCAAAACCTACTTGAATCTACAAGGACCTGTCACAGGTCTGTGAAATATCCTACTGGCTGTAGCAGAATTGGTTTAAATGGAAATGGTCTGGCTCTGGAGTGCTGATCCAGAGTCAGCAGCTGGAGTTGATAAATAGTGGCTTTTTTTTTCTTTTTTAAATTGTAATCACTTTTATGCACCTTTCTATATACAGTGTTTATTTTCTCTTGTAGTCCTTTTAATATGCTTCATCTTTCTTAGAAGAATTATTTCTTATACTTTATTTATTTCACTCAGTGGCCAGTTCAAGCAAGACACAAATGTTGCTTAGCAACAGCTGGAGGTCTGGTGGTTTGGGCAACTGTGTTTAGAAGAGGGAGGGATTTGGAAAGACTCATTTATTCATTTAAAAAAAAAAAAAAAAAAAATCCCCTCCACCTTTCTCAACGTGTGAAACAACATGGAGTGATGTTGGGGTTCATGTAAAATGTAACCTTAGCAATGCCTGGAAGAGATGGATAAATGGGTGGTGTGTCTGTAGCTTCGTGGAAATGAAAGCGACGGTCCTGCGTCAGTAACCTGAGTTGACCCCACCCCCCGTGACTTGAATATGTTTACAAGCACAAAGGCTGAGAGGAAGGGGTTCAGAAGAGCACAGCAGCTGCTCCTGTGCCTTATGAAAATCAATGCAGAAGTCTTATTAAGCAATCACTGCTCAGCATATGTAAGGCTAAATGGTTTCTACAGGGTCATTTACTTAAGGATCATGGGAAAGGAGTGTCGTGTGGTGTGTGGGTTTTTTTTGTTTTGTTTTTTTAAATAAATTGTATATAAATGCTTTTCAGGGATAACTATCATCCCTCATCAGACTGATTGGTAATTCAAACTACGCTTTTTACTTTATTCAGGTGTAAATAACAAATCCAAAACACAATATGCTTTGTTGGGTTCAGAGATCTAAGTGTTGCTGAGGTATCAGTTGTCCTTGTGTGCTCTTTCACCGCCTCCCTCCCTCCTGCAGCTCCTCATTCATATCTCCATGTTTTCTGTTTAGGCCGCCAACTATTTGGACATCAAAGGCCTGTTAGATGTCACCTGCAAGACGGTGGCCAACATGATCAAAGGCAAAACCCCAGAGGAGATCAGGAAGACTTTCAACATCAAAAATGATTTCACAGAGGAGGAGGAAGCCCAGGTACTTATTCCAACCCATCAGCTGTCTGTCAGAAAACAAAAGACTTTCATAAGCAACGAGAAATCACTTGGATGTTGCGGATGGGATTAAAATGGTGATCACAAAGTTGCCTTCCACACCTTTGTGGATTATTAATTTGTCCCTCTCTTCCGCAGGTACGCAAAGAGAACCAGTGGTGTGAAGAAAAATAAGAGGAAGATCTTGCCAACACTACCACACTGAAAAGGATTCTCTCTGCTAACTGGTTGCACTGGCGTTGTTCATACTTGTTAATATTTACATTTAGTATATTTAGAGCCACATCCCTCGCTCCCCCACCACCATCACTTTTCCTTAATTTCTGATAATAGCATGACTATTTTAACTTGCCTGTGTGGTGTCATTAATTTAAAGCCAAGCTCTCTTCTGTTCGCGCACACTCACGTTGTGTATTGACATAAAATAAATGGTCCTGGTTTCACGGCTTTGTATCCTTTTAAAGATTCGAAGACTCCTCAGATTTCCCCTGTTATTAACTGCTCTGGCTTTTTTTTTCTTTCTTTTTTTTGTTTGTTTGTTTTTTTTAAACTTGACATTGTTTTCTTTTAGGTTAAGTGAATGAATAAAATGCATTTTTTGACAATGGATATGTGAGGGTGAATTTGTTTTCTTCTTTTTGCTCTGTAAATGTGTCCATTTTGTGAAACCATGTCAAGGAGACGTTTATAGGAAAAGTGAAGTTTGAGGTAGAATGATTACTTTGTTTTTAAATGCATAATGTCCCCCTGGACTCGAAGTACTTGTGTTAACACGCAGCGTTGGGTAACACATGCGCTGTTGTAGCGAATTGAAAACTTTTCCCAGTTAAGCTCTGATGCTGGTTTTTGGGATGCTCAAACATACTGAAGGAGTAAATAAAACATTAAATGGATGGTGTCTGTCACTTTTTGTTTTTAGTTGTGGTTGGTGGGGTCTAAATCTCAAGGAATCGTGGACCAGATAGTCAAAACACTTTATTACAACAATCAAAAACACAATAACACATCAAAGGCATTTAAAAGAAAAAATAAAATAAAATGCTGGACATCTTTGAGGTGCTGCCACTATTGCAAACTACTTCTAGCACAATAGCTCTCTCTGGTGGAGGGAAACTATATTGCTGTACAAAAAACTCAGCTTCTAGTTTGTCCACACAGTAAGAAACTGTAAGCAGAAAAGAAAATTAAAGCCTTAATAAAAAAATCAAAATGTCTGTTACGTTAGCTGTAAAAATGCAGAGTAAGACCATGACACTTGACAAAAAAAAACTTTGCACAAGACAAACAAATGTATTGCTTTAAGAAATGGTAGAAACTAACTTTTTTTTAAAAGAATATTTTTTAAACTTTTTTTTTTAAATTTTTTTTTACATAAAACCATATAAAAGTTTAATTATAAAACTTTACAACACAATGCAATATAATAGTACCCATTTGGTCTCAGTTTAATCTGCTGCGCTGGAAAATGTTCAAAGGAAAACAAGACTTAAAAGACAATAACACTCTTCTGAGGGATTCCCACCTGTAGAAAGCCTGACCTTAAAAATCATGAGATTCATACAAAACAATACCACTAATTATGCAAAAACACAAACAATGTAACAGTTGGTGAAGCCATAGATTGACAGCCTGAAAGTGCCTAAAAGTAATGTGAACTTCAGAATTTTCTTTTTAAAACTGCTGGAAATATATATTTATAAATTTTTTGTCAAAGAAGCTGCACAAGTATTCATGAAAATGTTTGGGGGAAAAAAGGGGGAAACTTAGAGTCAGACTGTGTAATGGCAGCTATTGAAAGTGAATCCATGCCTCTTGGAATCTGAGGTTCTGCTGGTCAGGTTGGGTGGCAGTTGGTCCTTGCTCCCCTCTTGTGGTTCTTATAAATGGGTGATAACATTTCCAGGAGATGGATGTGATGGTGAAGCTTTAAGAGTAAAAGTATGTCAGATTGTCATCGCTATGGAGTTACTTATCCATAAAGTATGATAATCACTTCAGTTGAGTTTTAACTGCAGCAGGTGGAGCCAAAGAACCGCAATCATTTTTTTATTGTTTTGTTTTTGCATGCACCTTAGCATTGCTCGCTACTATGTGTTCTAAAGCTGGTGGATTTTTGGTCACCAGTTCAGCGGCTGGATCCTTCAAATTGGCTTGTGTCCTCAGCTTAATGTAATGTCACGTGACAGATCTCTTTGAGAAGGACTTTGTGACCGTAAAAATGCAGATATTGAAGAATCCAGCCTCTGAACTAAGAGACAGCTACTGTCCTACTGAGGATAGGGTGGGGTAGGGGAGGGATCGATGCCTTCAACTTGCTCCTTTTTCTGTAACATCAAATGAACCTCAGTGGGAGGGGGTGTACATAAAACTGATGTCAGCTGATGAGGATGATCGTAACGGCTCTGGAGGAAGCTGAGGAGTGCGGGGGTTGTTGATGCGAGCAGACCACAGCCATCACTGGGTCTCCGTTAGCACTTTGAGAGAGAGTCCTGCGGCCTTGGCGGCCGACAGCACCGACGGGCTGTGCGTCTGCTTGCTGGACAGTTCCGGGTGTGCGTGGGGGTGCTTTGCTGCGAGCGTGCGGAGGTCCCCGCGTTTGCCGGCAGACTGCTGCGGAGTTAAGCGCGTGTGTGAGAGTGCATGCGCTGGCGGAGACAAGGGGAGACGTGCCGAAGGGGAGGTGGGCGGCGGGGAGCAGCCCGGGGAGGGGGGCCGTTGGAGCTGGAAGAGACGGTGTCGGGCGGGAGAAGGGGACGGGGGAGAGTCTATAGCACTTAAATCTGAAGAAGTTGGGCTGGGGCAGCCTCCTCCTTGAAGGTAGCGAATGCACTTCTTTTTCCTCCTAGGAACAGTCAGAGAGAGTTATCTGTGAATAAAGTGTGGATGGTAAATGTCAGCAGGCTTTAGTGAAGATGCAACATTCACACTGAGGTCAATGAGCAGGGACACAAATGGACACAGCGAACAATAGCAGTATGTGGATGTCTCTACGTGAAGGAGGTCAGTTCCAGAGCAATGTAAATGCCACCATTTGCACATTGTGAGTCTCTGTGCGTTTATGGCAAAAGGGTGGTTTCTGTTAGACACGCAATGTGCATCACAACAGTGTCAGATGCAGATTGGCTTACTACAGCGTCAGTCTGTGTTGCTCCAGGACGACAATAGCAGCTGACCAGTTGTGCTGTTATTTAATTCAGTTTTGCTTATATAGAGCCAAATCACAACAACTGTCACCTCAAGGTGCTTTAAATTACAAAGCAGAGATCCTACAATCAAATGAGAGCCTTTGAGCGAGCAGTCGGCAACAGTGGGAAGGAAAAACTCCCTTTTAACAGGAAGAAACCTCTGGCAGAACCAGGCTCAGGGAGGAGCAGCCAACTGGTTAGGGGTGAAGGGGCGGAGACAGGACAAAAAACACACTGTGGAAGAGAGGCGGGGTTTAATGACAACTAATGAATAAATGCAGTGACGTGTAAGGATATAGTGAGAGCTTCAGTGACAGAGATTTGAGAATGAGGGGAAAGTTTGCTTTCCTGCTAGCTCGTCATCTTATCCTTAAAATTGGAAAGGTCTCATGTTCCCTTCCCATATGAGATGGCTGAGGGATGTCATGACCTACTTGAAGTTAGGAAAGCTTAAATATGCTAGCTGTGTAAGACATGGGCCCTGCTTACATGGGAATGTCCATAACAAACCAATTTTTCTTCCGTTTATGCTCGTTTGTGTGTGCGTGCTGCTGTTTGAGTTGTTTGTCGTTCTTCTTTTATGCACCCCTATTCTGAAATTGTGTCATTTATATTTAAATGTTGACTGCATCACATTAGAACTGAATTGCAGAGCAGACTGTAAGGGAACTTTCTTCCTTTCAAAAGGGAGTTTTCCCTTCCCACGGTCACCAAATGCTTGCTCACGAGGAGTCTGATTGTTAGGGTTTTCTCTCTGCAGTATTGTAGGGTCTTTACTGTCTTGAGGCGACTGTTATGTGATTTGGTGCTATATTAAAAAACAAAATTCAAACAGTACTGTATAAAATCTGATAAAGAGAAGTTTAAAAAAAGAAAACACAAAAGTCAGACATGATTTTTTTTTTTGTTTTTCTATTTTTTCTTCTGTTTTCAGTTGAAGTTTTTAATTTAGCTTTAACATAGTGTAGTTTAAAATAGCCCCTTCCATCCTGAAAGGCTTGAAAAGCCCTATTGGTCAGTTGAAATGACAGTCCTGTAGCAACACTAATATGATGTCATAGGAATGACAGCAGTACAGCTCTAATCCCAGGTTTGAAAAACTGAGATATAATAAAAAAAAGGAAAAAAGAAAAAAATAGATAAAGATAAACATCTGATACAATGTTGTGCAGGAAATATCTTTAATTTTGGTCCTTGGCAATAGAATAGTTGCAGCTGACCAGGGATGCATATAATTATTAATAGTAGGGAATCTAAATCTTCATATCTCTTCTGAGCATCTTAGATTTAACCCCTGACAAATACTGATCCCTATTAAAATGAAACTAAACCAAAACAAGAAAAGCCAAATAAATCAAATTGAAATGAAAAAACAAAAACAAAATATAATAACTCATCTGAATTGTGGACACCGGACCTTTTGTGAAATAAAGCAACTCGTTAAAATCTTTAAAAAGATTTCATTTTTTGAACTCTTCTCGCACCTTTATGCTAAGCTAAACTTGTGAACGTCTGCTTCTATAGTTGATGCAAAGGCTATAAACCTTGTTGATCCTTTCATCCACACAAAATCCTGATAACTGAAACCAGGGAATACCACTCGACTTTAAAATGAGTTTTAAAAAATCGCCCCTGTGATTATATTAGTGCTATTAGCATGAATGAATGAACTCCTTTGATTAAAGATTTAACACATAGAGCCTGCGAGTTGACACTTTCACTTAACCTAAGCACCACAAAAGTAGTATTAGAATTGCGTAGCGATTAGTTTGGAGTTTCAGTTTTCTACTTCTTTTTGTTCTGAACCGAACGTATTACATGTGTCTAATAGGCAATCAGCAGTAACCCTGCTGTGCTTTGTGAGGTGTTATACTTAAAAGCAGACTTGTGTACCGCTGAGTGCAGCATCAAAGCAGTTAACAGGATCCCATGATCATTACCAGAATATGATATGAGTCACCGGGTTTAACCGCAAGGAAAGGCGCTAGGCCATATTTAGAGAGGGAGAGAGGCAGGAAGAGTGCAATAGAAAGTGATTTCTAAATGTCAGAGTTCACCATCAAAAGGCGCCCGTTACCACATCGCATGAATGGAGAAAGTTGAAAGCAGATGGGCATGAGAATGCCGTCAAAATGCAAAGCTGCAGGGAGCGCGCTAGTGTGTGTGTGTTTGTGTGGAGCTGTGGTGATAAGGATTTGCTCTAACCACATTCAGCCCCCTTTGTTCTCTCAAAGCGAAACAAACTCACACACACACACACACATTCAGATTTCCATGACGTGATGGTGGGGAAGACGACAGGGTTTCTACAGTGCTGTGGTGGTAGAAACTTTTTCTGCAGAACCACACAGATCCCTGACTCCTGCAGCAAAGCCGTTGGGCTGCCGTGCACCGTGAATCCTGGTGCGTCTCAAACCCGGCCGTGCGAGCTGCTGACGGGCCCGCTTCTGATCATTTATCTTGTGCCGCTGCCATTCGTCAGCTCTCGCTGGGGAGAAACGCATCCGAGAGCGCTGCAGTTTTGAGAATGGATTTAAAAATAAATAAATAAAGAAGACAAATGAGCTGCTCTGGCAGATAAATAAAACAACCGGTGAAGCCGGCGTACCTGATCTCTAAATAATCCCTGCGCACCCAGTTTCCTTTTACTTTTGTAAAACACCAACTGCCTCGGACTAATCCAGTGCTGACAGAGGGAAAAGAGGGAAATTCCCAGCTTGAGTTTAGAAACGTGGCTCCCGACATGTTTTAATGATTCCAATATGGCGACCCTGGAAACAGAACATCTGTTTGAGCTTCTTCACTCAAAGAAAGTTTGACCTTTGACAAACGGTGATGCTATTACAATTACATAAGGAAGGAATAATACTGTTTTTTTGTTGTTGTTTTTTGAAAGAGAGCATTTTAATGAGTGGTATTCCCCTTTAACCTCTAGCCATTCACTACAGAGGGCCTGCTTATGCAAGGCATTATGCCAGTGGTGCTGAAGAACCCAAACTAACCTCGATGGTGTGGGTGAGACATCACATATATATATTTACAGACTTAAATATAGGGGTGGAGTGACGGGGTGTGAAAACATGTCTCTAAATACATTTTAACTCATGCGACACCTCTAAATCTGCATGTCTGACCTTTTACCTGCAAGTAAACACATGACTGAAGCCTAACTAAAGTTAGCATGTTTCGCTGTTTGCTATATATTAACTGCATATGTATGGGTTCTATTTGCAGAGCAGCAGGTTAGTGAGAGATGACATGCAGACCTCAAACACGAGGAGGTAGAGCTCGTCTTGGCAGGTATAATCACAATAGGGGAGGGGGCTTGTCTTCATTCAGCAGTTTACTTGTTGGACAAATGAAAAGGCTGAAAAAAAGGCCTGGAAAACAGAAAAAAAACAAGCTTGATGGGATTAATGAGATTGATGCCACCTCCAAGACTGCTCTGCCTCCTACGGCATCAGAGAGACACGATGCACTTGAGCGGTGTGAGAAGAAAGATGGGGGAGTCGTGAGCGTAGCGTGGTGCTGCGGAGCGAGTGGGGTGGATGGTTGGTACACACCTGCAAGGACCGCACCAGTCCGTTTGTTGGTTGAGGCCGAAGCGAGCCCGGCATTTCTTAGGAGAGCCCGGGTCTGAGCACAATGCGTGGCATGCACAGGAAAAGGGGAGGAGGAAAAGCAGAGGAAGAGGGGAGGAAACAGGTTAGACGACAAAAGACACAGACAAGAAGGAGACGAAGAGAGAAACAAGCTCGTCAGGGCAGGACAAAAGCACCGTTTGTTCGGAAAAAGCCATCAAGTAAAACTGTTAGTAGACGGTTACGGCACAATGCGACATTAACAACCAGCAGATCAACCGCCCAACACAACTTAGTTAAACATGTGGGTCAGTTAACACACAGAGGAAGAAGCAGCCGTGCTGTCACGCTGTTAGTACTGGACCTTTCAAGGGTTTTCAGTTTCTAAAACGACGCCCAAATCCAAAAAATATATATTTTCCAGTTTCTGAAACATCTGCTGAAAATACCCTAATGTGCACAAGTCTTGAGCCACCCCTCATTTCTTTATATTTTGTATGTAAAACAGGAAAAACGTGCAGAGATTTACTTAAATGTGCAACCATATTTTAAAATACAGTCTATAAGACACAAACAGAGTTAAAGTCAATATTTAGTATGATCACCTTTATTCTTCAACACAGTCTGAACTCTCTTAGTCAAGCTTTCTTGAAGCAGTCTTCAGGAACAGTTCTCCAGGCTTCCTGAGGAAGTCAGAGCTCTTCTTTGGATGTTTTCTGGCTTCTGTCAAGATGATCCCAAACCGCTTAATTAAGCTGAGGCCTGGGCTCTGTGGAGGCCAATCCATGACTAATAGTGCTAATAGTGTCTCACTGTGTGTTTTTCTATGATTTTACTGCATTTGCAGTATGTTTGGGATTATTGCCATGCCTATCGGACAATTTCCAGCTGGTTTTGCATAGTGCACAGGTGTCGAACTCCAGGCCTCGAGGGCCGGTGTCCTGCAGGTTTTAGATGTGTCCTTGATCCAACACAGATCATTAAATAGCTAAATTACCTCCTCAACATGTCTTGAAGTTCTCCAAAAGATCTGGTAATGAACTAATCATTTGATTCGGATGTGTTGACCCAGGGTGAGATCTATAGCCTGCAGGACACCTGCCCTTGAGGCCTGAAGTTCGACACCTCTGGCCTAGTGGATCAAAATCTGGCGGTACTACTGGACATAGTTCCATTCGGACAAGATCCCCGACACCACTGGCTAAAATGTCGCCCCCAACCATGAAGGGTTTCCATTGTGTTTTACAGATGGATTCATCACTCCATAAGACCTGTTCCCACAGATTTTTAATCCAATTCTTGCATAATCTGATATACTTCAGCCCCTTCTCCCTTAAGAATGGCTTCTTGACTGGCATCCTTCCACTGACACCATTTGTGATGAAGCTTTGGGTAATATCTCTGTGTTTGGTGTCTTTGGTAAAACCATTTAACCCTGATTTATCAATCTTTCAAATATAAAAAAGAAACAACAACAACAAAAATCTCTGAAAATGTTCAGGTACAAGTACTGGACTGAAAAGAAAAACACTAAAAGACCTTCAGAAAGCCTGGAGAGCTACTGCTCAAGACCACTTACAAAGAAATGAGGGATGGTTCTGGACCTACACAATACTGTAAGTAAATATACTTTGGTGTTACTGCACGGTAAAATGAAGCATCGTGCCAGTTAAGGCAGAGCACTCAGGTCGCTCTAGCACGAGCTGAGGGGAGACCGAGGCTCTTTTATCTGCTGCCGCGCATCGAGAAGACGCCGAACATACACGACCTTCTTTAAAACAATCACAAAAGTGTTACAACCTCTTATCGTCTCACCTTTGATGCCATCGTGCCGATGCTGTAGTAGCTTTTATTGTATTACCACAAGCACTCAAGTGGTTTACTTGGGACGTGGATAACTACCACGTCTGCGTTCTCAAAACCGAACAGGTCAGAGCTGAGAAGCTTGTTATTGTTCATACATGGCGGAGGTGGAAAAGGGAAAATGCTAGTCATGCGATAAGAGTTTTTGATTTCCTTTCTGCCACGATGGCTGACTTTCTTTCTTTTTTTTAAACTTGGAACAGCTAAGATCAGCACAAAGTTTTGCACACTGGGATTCAAATGTTTGTAATTGAGGTTACATGGAAAGCAGAGTGGGTGGGTGGTTTGACGTTTGAGACACATCCTGCACACCGAGATGCCGTGCCGCACGCAGCGCCAACGCAAACTCAAGCTCGACTGAATTCTCTGAAATCCAGAAGTCTTGGCACTGGTCATTTTCTGTGTGTGTGGCTTTTAAAAAAACGTTTAACCATCCGTCAGACGAGAGCAAGGAAATCCATATTTAGAGGTTTACCTGTGTTGGAGTCCTGCTGCTTCTCCCTTTTTCTCCTCTTCTTCTTGCCCTGTTTGAGAAGAAGAAAACAAAACAAAAAAAAAAGCCAAAGAAATGAAATGAGTCGGACTCTTGACTGCACTGCTGACTATCAGCAGATCTTCCAGTTCATTTGGCTTATCTCAAGCAGGATAAAAGTTACGTGCAAGTGTCTTAGATAACTTTTAATCACCGTGTTCGGCTGGCATTTCTATCAACTGAAATCTGCACAGTAAAGAAGCTGAAGGCCTTAATAGTAAAGGGGGGAAACGTGAATTCAGATTAAAGCCATTGTAAACTCCTAACTGTTTTCATATTCGTGTTTGCATTTGTTCTGTGTCCCCAGGCTGATTGTAATGTGTGACTGTTGAGGTAAACATCAGAGCTGTTCACACAGATCCGGTGATGGTGAAGTGAGGCCTCATATTTGGGTGCGATGAAGGATGTGGGCACAGAAATCTACCGCCTACGCTTCGATGTCTAACCCTCCTCAGCTCGCTGTCAGCATTGTATATGTGGTTACTCCTCTTGCAAGTGCACCATTCTGAAGCTTCTTAGTCTGTGGGCGTATGTGTGTGTGCGTGTGTGTGTGCATATACTAGCCTATATGTAGTATAGTAGTGTATGTATTTTGTTTTTTTTTGAGTGGGGGAACTGGAGGAGAAACCCTCCACAGGTGTGTGGGCGATATGTGGAACTTCACTTCCTGTTTTGCTCGTAGGTCCAGTGGTTTGTTTGTTTTTAACTCAGAAGGAGAACAGAGGGCAGCGAGGACACTTGGTAGTTTGTTTTTATTCATTTATTTATTTTCCAAATGCATCAGATGATATTTAAAGCTCAGTCCTTCACCTATAAACAGTTTGTGGACTGATCATCAAGTGGCCCTTTCAGGCTCTTTCTTTAAAATCCTGGAATTTGTGATTGATTCAAAAGCATTTTGGAGCGTGTCGTGTCACTAACAATATATCCCAAGAATATTTTTACACTAAAGGAGCATTCATGGCAAAATCTACTAGTTTTCCCTAATTATTTATCCATCTAGACCGCTCTGATTTGAGTTGCGCACTTTTGAAGGAATTCTCTTAAAAGCAATGGAACTGCAGACTAATCCACAGTGCAGAAGGAGAACTGCATCTGCCTGTGATGAAAACTTTGTGCTCACGACAGACAGCACGACAGGATGTAAACACTAATGGTGACCCCCTTTTTTGAACTGAGCATCTGCAAGCTGTCTCCAGCTGGCGGATGTAGACAGTGAAAAGAAAATAGTTCCTTTGCGAAAACGGGGTTTTGCTGTTTTTGATCCCTGAACACCTGGAAGCAAGTGCAACTGGGCAACTCAAGCCAAAACAATCTAAACGCATATTTGTTTGAGGTGAACTATCCCTTTAAATTCTCCAAACTTGAACCGTATGCCTATCAAAAAGCCACAGAGTGTGGATTATGCTTAATTACAGTGCTTAGAATCGTGACATTTAAGAGCCGTTTAAGAGGTGAAGACAATGTTCAAAGCTCCGTGCATACAGCGACGGCTCCTACACCTGCGATCAGAGAGTATTAAAGCTCTGGTTTACAACACCTTCACAACAGCATGAGGGTAATTTCTGAGTGCAGAAATAACACTCTCCAGGTCGCCTCGCAACCCTTAATTTTGACATATGCGGTCACGGGGTATCTTCTTGTGCTACTCTGTTATCTGTGTGACAGTTTAGATGTTTCAAACATGTTAGAAACCACAGTCCAGATAAAGTGTTACCAAGTTCCCACGCCTGCCTGCCTGCCTGCAGAGTTCAGCTCGGTAACCAATCACGTGTAGAGAAGCAAGAGAGTGCAGGCACAGCAAAACATAACCGGGGCTGTCTTTCTTTCAGAACATCCACAACCTCCTTTACAGACGTCTTGCTGTGTTGCTACAAAAATGAAGGTGCTGTGTTTTGAAGCTGTATATTAAGGCAGTGAGGCCAGCCATGCAGCCCTGCTCTCTGTTAGTCGAGCAAACGGGCTGATTTATACCTCTGTGTGATTTAGTGTTTCAAAGGTTAACATACTTGCAGGCGTAGCAGCTGCAAAAGCGTAGGCCATATCCAAAACTGACCAATCACATCGGCTCGTGTGGCTGCCGCCGCCTGCGTGCGTGCTGTCTGGGAGGCTGACATGGGTGAGTCACTCAGATTTTTTGTTTTGGTTTGTTTTTTTGGAAGGTGCATGCAAACTTTGCAACAGGAATACCCACAACCCCTTTCATGCAAATCCTCACATTAGTTTTTTTTTTTTCTTCCCCCCACCACAGAGGTATAAATCCACCATAAGACGTGTCCCTACCCAATCAGCTTTATTCTTTTCCCCTGCGACCCCGCTAAGGCCCGCCTCCTGCAAGAGTTCAACAGCAAACTGAGAAGTCAAAGGCACACAGCAGGCCAGAAACTAGAATGCATGCACCACATAAGTTTATTCGTTGTATTTAAGAACACTGGCATTGAGAGTGTCAGAAACAACAGATTTCATGAGACTGATCCTGTTCTTGGTTTCACTTGCACAGAAATCACACCAGAGAGCAGGTTCTGATTAAATGGTTTTCTCCTTACAGAAAACAAAGCGTGAATAGCTTCTGCTGATTCCTGGCTTTTATTTTAATGCATCTGGAAGCTCAGATTGGTATAAATCAATGACCCAAGAATCCAAGGGGAGGATTTTATTTCAGAAAATACCATTTGCATCACTAGAACTGCAGTTTTAGAAGTTATTTTAGGGGGTGGGGGCATTTTTTTTCTTCCAATTTTCTTTTTTGTGTGTAATTCAGCACAGTTTTCAGTGCATTTTTAGAGCTCGCCACAAGAAATCACTGTTTTCCGTAAACTGCGGTAAACCAGTAACAATGGAAAATGATGTTCACTGCAGATACTGCAACATTCCCTGCCTTGCACACCTTTATTTTTCCATTTTAAAAAGTGGGAGAGCTTTTGCATATCCCTGCTTTTGTTTTCAGACGGCTCAGGAAATTAGTCATATCGGCTTGTTTTTCTTCTCACTCTGAATAGGCTCATGAACACAGGGGAGGGAGGAATAAGAAGAACATGTTCTTACGTAGTTGTCCCTAGCAGACCAAGTTGGGTAGAGCTGCATGTGCAGTTGTCTTTCCTTTCTGGCCAACTCGTAGTACTTGGCTTGTTCCTCTCGGGTCAGTGCGTGCCACTGGAAACACACACAACAAAAGGAAGGTCAGTATTTTCACAGACTTGCCTTTATACAGTTTTTGGGTTTTGGGCAATAAAGTCTTTGATAATGGCTTTGAACTGATCTGATCATTAAACTCTCTTTCTATTGAGAATATACAAAAAAGTGAAAATAGTACAAAGAGAGAAAATTAAATGTTATTTTTCTGTGTGGAATATGTGCTCATTTTTCACTATAAATGAATTATAACGGAGATTTTTATGACAACAGGACCGTTTTTCTCTTTCTACGGCACAGATGAGCTGGATGTTGTTTTTAAATGTTTCTTCATCGCATGTCAATTTGCATTTGCTGCCGTCGGTGGTTTCCTGAAGTGTTCTTTACTGTGATAACAATCGCAGAATCATTTCTGTTTTTAATGCAGCGCAGCCCGAGGGCCCCAGGCTCTGTTTTCCAGGCCTGTTCTCAAATCCTTTGACTCTCCTAATGATGTTATGTACCGTAGACACAGTTTTACATTTAGGAGGGTAATTTTTAAACCTTGTTAACTACTGGCCATTGAAGTCTTTAATAAAATGAGAAACCTCTCTCCATTTTTCCAGAAGAAAGGCAGTGCATCTCTGGGACGCTCTCTTTATAACATAATCATGTAAGGATTTGGAGGATACAGGGGTTTGAAATGTCAGCTCACAGGAGGACGCTTCCTGGTTCGAACCCTCTGTGTGGAGTTTGCATGCTCTCCCTGTGCCTGAGTGGGTACTACAGGTTCGATAGACTGTAACTCCTCTTACTTTTTTGCAATACTGCATGAGAATAAGGGGCGGATGTGGCTGAAAAAATGAGTCATCTACTAATCGGAAGGTCAGTGGTACGATTCCCAGCACCCATGAGCACTGGAGTGTGTGTGTGTGTGTGTGTAGTGGTAGAAAGTGCTGTGAGTGTGCAGGTAAAGTAGAGAAGTGCTAGATAAGTACCAGTCTGGTAAGTGAGGGAAACAGAGTTCACATTACCTCTCATGTTCCTCATGTGTGAAATTACTGACTGACCTGGAAACAGGATTAGTCTGCTTTTCAATGTGCATGCCTGTGTGTGTGTGTGTGTGTGTGTGTGTGTGTGTGTGTGTGTGTGTGTGTGTGTGTGTGTCCCTCACCCTTCGTCCCAGGATCTGATTGATGGCTGCGCTCTCTTTTAATGTGCACTCGGCGATGACCTTTGCCCTCATCTCCTTCATGTAAAGCATGAAGGCGTTCAGAGGTTTCTTGATGACCGGCTTCTTGGGCTCCTTCTCCCGCTTGGGCTCCACCTGTGGCTTCCTGATGAAGACGTGGGGTGAAGGAATGAGGCTGTGAGAACTTTATAGTTTCTTACACTGTGACAAAGGGTGGAGCCATGAATATAAATGTACCTAAAACGGAGCGAGGGGTATACTTACACGTACATGCTCCTGTCATACTGCTCGTGATCCTGTTTGCCTGTAGGGGGCACTATGGCTGGATGGGGGATCCCTGTAGGATGCATGCCCGATGGGCCGAGCATCAGCGAGTGAGAAAACCTGGTGCAGGGTAAAAAGAAGAAGAAAAAAAAAGCAGAGGAAAGGGGGTGGGGGGATAAGACAGAGAAAGGGGGGGGTGACAAAAAAGGTGAGTTCATAGAGATGCACTGAGGATAGGAGGCGGCAGGGCGGTAAGCATCAAAGCAGGAGCGACAGTTTTATGTAAGCAGTGAGCCTGAAAGCATGGAAAGTCCACTGAGCTTCATATCAGTGTTGTTTGTGTTTCATCTTGTGTCTACAGCTGAGTAAATGCAATACAGAACACGGGACAAATGTGACTGCAGTGTGACAAAGAAGCTCTTTAAAGTTTATTTTTGTGTAAGAGTGAAGCCATCATTTATCACCACTAGAGGGCGACCAAACATTACTGAGCGAGAGAGAGGGGAAGTGGGCACTGAGGGGAAAACGCTTCTTCGTGTGTCACACACCTTGACTCGTAGGGAGTAAAAATGCATTCCACCAATCATGATGTGATCTAGCTTTGTATTTCCCTCATATTTTCCTACCTGTTTGCAGGTTAGTTATGCGATATCTATCAGTAATTTGTCCCTAATTGTTCCATTTTGGGTTGTTAAACACTGTGCCTCTTGTCAACAGACCAGAGTCACTGACAACAGGCTATGAGGAATCCCCAGCCTGTTATGCCAGACAGGCTGGGGATTCTTCGCCTATTTTAGGCAACTAACACAAAGAGAAAGCATCTGTGTGTTGCAAGCAGAGATCTTTAAGGGTTTGCAAATTTGACTGAACACAAAAACCCTCTTAAACTCACAGTGGGTTCACACTTAATTTTCCCGTGCGTGTGCTTGCAAACATGAAAAGCATCTGCAATGACGACTAAACGAACACTCTTTTTTTTTTTAAAAAACAATGAAGTTTTTACAGCGAGATAAAGACAAGACACAATTACAACCAGAACAAAGCTTAAGGGCAGCGAAAAGAAAAAATAAAGCAGCTGTCCTAATGGTTGTTTCTATTTCTGTGTGTGTGTGTGACATTTCATATTCTGCAGCAGCGATTAGCTTGGCTTGACTCAGCTTGTTTTTGGCGAAACACTGAACTGGTCCTGTTTACAGCACACTGGCTCCAATAGAATTTTACAGAAGCTGTCCAAAGAAATCAGGCCGAACATGAGTTTGCCACGGTGAATGGAAAACGCCTGCTCAGACGTTTGAGATGTGCTATAAACAGGAGTTGGTGATGCAGAGCGTTGCCCTTTTTTTCCCCCCAACCCCAACTCGGATCGGGTTGGCTCAAGCTGGCCAGTCGGCTACGGTACCTGGAGTAGGACGATGCGCTGGGGAGATTGGAGGGGTAGGGCTGCCTGAATCCACATGGGGACAGGGCAGGATAGACAGGCTGGCTCTGCCTGCCACAGCACAGCAGAGGGAAGAGATGGGAGCAGAAGATTTTAATTTAACAGGTAAAAGTTTTTTTGTTGTTGCCCTTAATGGTTAAATTAAGGAATTAGGTGGGAACAGATTCATTAAGGTCACCTAATGGAATGCTTCCAGAACCATTATTCCACTGCATAATCCTCCAAATTCCCAACAAACTTCCTTTCCCCTGAAATTTGCTGTCATTCCTGTGCCTTTCCCATCCTTTAACAGCAATATAAGTTGTCTCTTAATCTGGTGGAAAGTTTTGCAGAGATGCTTTCGAACACTCATTCAGCTTTTCTTTTCTTGTTCTGTGCGTGCTCAGGCATACATTTCTTCAAGTCACCCATGTACATTTCATACCGCATTGCATTTGAATACGCAAACAAAACAGAATTAAACCCAAATAAAATAAACTTCAGGACTTGTGTGTTATTTGAAGGTTCTAACATAAAGTTAATTCGCAATCCTTAAAGCCCGTCGTGATGCTGTGATGCACCCCCTGGAAAGCCTGGATCAGCACTGTTGACAGCTGTGCGTCAATACTTGACTTACTGGGAGCACAAACAAATACTCACACCGTGGGAGGTCGCGGGTGGGGAGCGGGTGCAGGGAAAAGCCTTTGATATGTAGAAAAACCACACCTCCCCCCCCCCTCCCAAAAAAAAAACCTACCTCCAGAGAGCAAATGCAACCATCCTCCCCTTCGACTGACTCATCCTGGTGTTTGTGAATGTCAGCACACGCTCGCTTGCTCCACATCTACCATTTACACCACCTTTGCAATCAGCATCATTATCATCACACTCTGCTATCTCCTTTTAATCTCTTCCTCTTTGTTTCAGCTGTATCTGTTCTCCAGAGGTTTTTTACATTCAGAAAAGCCCAGCAGCAGAAACCCTAAACTGGGACGAGATCCGGAGATTAGTGGCCTCAGCTCCGGCTGTAACCCTGTTTCAGCTGAGGCCACGCTACGACACAGTTTAGACAAAAGCGGTTCAAACTAAATGGCCCATCCACTTTTCTTTCTTTTTTCCTTCATATCGCTGAATCTAATGAGTCAAACAGTCCACTAGTCAGTCCAATCCTCTTTAATCCATAGCCACTAAAATAAATTAAGTTCCCATGTTATGCATTTAGGGTTTCCCCCCTTTGTTTAGTGTGCTCTATAGCTCCTTGTGTTCTGCAAAGTTAGGAGGCCACAGAAAGCACTGCTGCTGCGCCACCCGAAGCTCCTTGTTTGTAGTACAGGCTTTTCTCGTGACTTATTTACATCACTATGTAACAAGCTTGCATAGTTCACACCTAGCCCTAACAGCTCCTTCAACATGCTGGCAGTCAAAACAATGAGCAGCTGCCTCCCAACCTGCACCTGAAGAACCCAGGAACAAGCACATGACTTTTATTTTTGATTGCATTGTCCTTGCAACCACAGAGGAAAAAAAGCTCAACTGCTTGTTAGGAATCATCTGACTGTAAACCTGTTAAAAACTTGAGGCATACTCAAGTTAATACCCACTTCTACAGTTTGATAGAAATTGATCTGGAGCTGCTGCAAAATGTACTCAGTTATTCCTTTGCCCACTCACCACCTCTCCATTAACTTTAATAAAATCCGGCTTAGTAGTTTCTTTTTTAATGCGATCTCGCTGACAGCTACTTGGTCTCCGCCTTGGTGGAGGAATAAATGGTTACGATGGGGTTGGTTTTGGAAACAATGTCAATGCATGAAACCAATGTGTGACGTATTAACCTCTGCAGGGGGCCGGGGGGGTTGTTAGCCTGCAGCTCTTAAAGAGCTGAGTCTACACTTGAAGAGCTATGGTATGCAACTAATACACTCACTTTTGCCAGGTCAGCTGACCAGCCAGTGCACACTAGGCTTTTAAAAAGGGAAGCCTTAAAGAACAAAGATCTAGTGTTTCAAGCGGGCGCAGTTTGTTTTTTTTTCATGTTTTTTCTTCAACATTAAAGCATCTAAACCCATTTTTGTAGACTCCCAAGATTCAATCTTGAACTTTTAAATGAATACAATATTAATCTAATTGCCCACGCCTCCTGTGGACCTTCATTTGTCCCTACAAGAAGAGAGTTTGATGCTTTATCTCCAAAAGAAACCGCAACTGCTCTGATGCCAAAACCCTCAAAAAGACTTCAGGTGCTTTCTCAAAGGGTCGGTAAGTACAGTATAATTGTTTTGGATTAACAGAGTTAGAATTGGTCACATGACATTCAATCATCAACCAGACCTCCATACTTGTAATTTAAGCTGCTCATTGATAGAAAATAAGGTTATTAGTCATGTTCTTCATATTCTTTTATTTGTTATTTTTCTGTTCTCTGATAACAGCTTACAATTTTGATTTTAAATGTCTGCATCGCTTAAAGCAAGACTCTTTGGTCAGCAGGATGTAAAAGCTTTTATAATTCCTGATGTAATGGATTTAACCAGCCAGCAGGCTAAAGGGACGGTTGGAGGTGGTCGTGGAGGGACGGACTTAAAGACAAAAAGAGAGAAAGAACAGAAAACAACAGTTTGACATTTAACTGCTCATTCTCCATGTTATTCCCGCCTCCTCCTTCCACAAAGAAGCACACTATAAGGGGCCAAAACAAAGCAGATAATCTGGGTTAAAGGAGATTAACTGTTAGTAATACTTGTGAAAGTCCATGATGAAGAGCTCTTGTCTGAAAAAGATAAAAAACCCCGGAAATCACAGACTTGAGAAATGTCTAGGGACATGCAGCTTGTCCTACAGAAGCACACAAAAAATAAAGAAAACACAAAGAAAAAAAAATAAACACACACACATGTAAACTAATGCCCACAAAAACTTTTTAAGCTTTCATCCCAAATCTCCATGACATTTGATGTAAGCCTTTAACTATTCTGAGAGGGGATTTGTCCAGGCACAGATGCTGTAGGTTGGAATAAATGGATTTGTGTTGATCCATAAATCAATGGGAAGTTTGACATTATAAGTTCACAATCAACCAGCATGACATTGGAGGCTCACAATCAGCTCTGAATGGATGGAAACCTGGATGACTGAATATGGAACAGATGTGCCCGTTTTAGGTGTCCAGCGTAGCTTTTTGCATCGCCGCTTTTTGCACTCCGAGCCCATGAGAAACAGACTTAAGGAATTCTATCACTAGAAACACAGTGCAGAGGCTACAACTCCAAAACCAACATTTTCTTCATTGTTTGGAAATCTTTGAACCCACTCGATTGTGATGTTTGCAGCCATCAGGACATCTTTAAAGACGTGTTTCATAGAAACATCCTTCAGTTTAAAGACCACAAAACGCTTCTTTATATATAGAGAAAATATGCTGCAGAGGACTTTGTTGAGGCCAATCACCATTACTTTGATTGACATTTCATTTAAAATTTGCAGCTGTCGACACTCATTATGTTTTAACCAGAGGCCACGGGTCGAAGTCCTCAACAAACAGGATCAAAGGCTGTGGCTTCCATGACAACGGGTTATCTGAGCTGACACCAGATGAACCTGTGATGTATGCACATTGGCATAGGTCAATGAAATGATAACAGTGTTTGGGAAAAAACGGGGATAACAGTTTGGAGGCCACTGCGGCTCCTTTAATCAGGCTGAAAGAGGAACATTGGTGGGGTTAAGGGTTAGTTACAAGTTTATGATGGGAAACCTGGTCCAGAAGAACACCACTGATTGGATTATGAAGCATAAACTATAAAGACGACATTCACATATCTTTGATATTTCTGACCAACATTTTAAAACACAAAAGATGCAGTTTACTATGATTACTATGCTGGAGCAAAGTATAGTGTAGCTTTAATTTGTGGCTTCAACTAATAATTCTTTTCGATATTTCTCTTTGACAATTTTAGTCTATAGCAGGCTGCCAAACATGAGGCCCAGGGTCTAGAATCGGCCTGCCAAAGACTCCAATTTGGCCCACTGGATGGCTTTGGAAAATGCAATATTTTGTTTAGATATTTAACTGCGTTTTCATTAGTTGTATGGCTTCTCCATGGCTATTTATTCTTCACAGAAGAAAAGAAGTAATAGATAAACAAATAACTACCAGAAAGTTCATATTTTTTTACTGTATACTATAGAAATGTATGACTTTTACAGTGGGTTCATTGTTTAAAAAAAATAGAAAAAAAGAAAAAAGATATTCTTTCAGTAATTTCTGTAATTTTACACATGCAATTCTTACAATTGAAACCCAAAGCCACATGTCTTTATCCTGTAGAAAAACTGAGCTGTACTGTTGAAACTGAACTTCTTTTTCTTATACTAAAATATGTCAGGGATTAAATGTGCAGTTAAACTTCTTTACACTGACAAAAAGATGAGTTTCACTGGTCAGTCCCACTTATGATCAAAGTGGGACCCAATGTAAAATGGGTTTGACACCCCTTTAGGTTTATAGGACGCTGGAAAATACTGAAAAATGTCCATCAGACATCACCAAAGCATAGAAAACATGAAAAAAAAACATTGGATTCAGAGGGTAGGGCATTGTTTTGTCCCACTTTTAGTTAGGAATGACACAAATGATCTAAAGTCCTGTGCAGACAGCCAGACATGCACTTCTTTTCCAGTGCAGGGCTTCAACATCTGGTCACTTTTCCATAATAGCCACAGCAGCAATTTTACCAAGTCAGACCTGGTAACGTTTACAGAACATAACACAAGTCTGAACTGAACGCAGTCGCATTAGCAGACAGGCACGCACAAGATTACAGCTGTAAATCTCTATCATGTGTCCCTGAATTGCCCAGCTCGCTATAAAACACGACTGTTTGGAAGAGGGACGCAAATATCGATAACACGCACACCACGACCTTACATCTTAAATCAGCTGCAGCGAGATGAGGACTTTTCTCAATTACTATTTCTTGCATTTTCACTATTTCCTCATCCATAAGAGAGATGTCAAGAGTGTGAATGCCTCACAGCACTGAAGCACAAGTACAACAAATGGTGTGAATACCAAGGAGAGACAGAGAGAAAGTCTGTGCTGTGTCTGAACTTTGATGTGAGCACCTGAATGACATCCCTTTATCAGACTGGTGAAGGTTGCAAAGGTACGTATCGCCCATCTGATTTAAGAAAGGGGCTAATTTGACTCACCAACTCATCGAGGGAGTGATCTGGCTGACGCCACCAGGAGGGAGGGAGTAATATCCTGAGAGGTCCTGGGACTGATGCCTGTGAACGCCTGGAGGACACACAGACACACACACATTAGCATCATTGTAATCAGGGTTTTCTCAGTGTTTGAACATCCCCAGCCCACAGGTCTGATGGGTTTAGCAGTGTAAGCAGCATAGGAACCTGCCATTAAACACGTTAACACACTGACTCACATATTCTCGGTCACTGTGGCATACTCTGTCTTTCTGTGTGTGTGTGTTTGTTTCTTCCACTAGAAACCAATGATGCCAGTCGGTTTCACTGGTTTATTCCACACAAGTCGGGGTCTGTCGTAAAAGCGGCCACATTTTAAAAACCCACAACGACACGGGCAGACGCACACCCAGACGAGCATCCAAACAAACACTCTATGTCTCTACTTTTAGCAGAAATGTTTTCTAACAAAAGAAACACAGACTGCTTGACTCTGTGCCCTCACACAGAAAATATCCAGTCTCTCTCTCTCTCTCTCTCTTTGTGCCCTTCAAAGGAAGTCATTTGTCAACAGGCAGCACCTAGCACTTAGCGCGGCCCGGCTGCTAACCTGTGTTTGCAGCAGAGGAATGCTCTAGATGACTGTAATTTGGCCGCGGCTCCGGGCCTGTTTCGGGACCCCGAGCCGCTATAAATCTGGATGACAGGAACGAGACTGAGTCAGTCGACCTGTCTCACCACTCAACCCTTCCTCCCATTCCTCTGTCTGTCCCACCACGCCCTTCCTCCCTTCTCCTCTTGTCCCTCATCCCTCCCCTGGTGCCCTCCACCCTCCCACTGTCCGGGTTCCTCTTATTGCTCGTCTCTGCCCTGCTTCTCACCCCATCTTGACCCTTTTGCCTCTCTGTTTCCCATCCTTCGCGTCTCACCCTCTTTCATTAAAGACCCCTTTCATCCTTTTTCCCTCGTCATTACACCTTCATTCCTTGTCATCCTCCCCTCCCCTGCACACCTTTCGAGTATTTAATGGCGACGTTTTCAAGTTGCAAGCCTTCATCGGTCTCTCTCTGTTCTTGCTTCTTTTTAAATAATGTCATTCACAGTTTTATTCATGCAGCTTGTGTGAACAAACTTCACCCTGCGTGCACGATGAAGTGTAAGTAAGCAGTTGAGTATTTAGTTAAACTTGTTAAGCTTCACTCACAGAGAATATCTAAAAATGCTGCAGCGAGTGCTTGACTCAAACTGGTTCGCAGCAGTACAGTAATGATTAGCTGACCAGCCAAAGTAGCCACAGAGCGCGCTCAGTACGCCGCTTTGTATGTATATCAAGAAGAAGAAGGGACTTTTGGGCTGCTGCAGCCACTTCCCTTCAGAGATTGTTCAACATATAGAAGTTTTTGATGAGGGGTAAATTCCATTTATTGGAAACATCAGGCTTACATTCAGAGTGTGCTCGTACTGATGAAAAACTGCTGCGCCACAATAACAGTCGCACAACCAAAGGCAGCAAAACAAGGGTCGGGGGGGTGGAAGGGGGGACTTTTTGTTGCGTGGCAAAGTGCTGTATCATTTTGCAACAATTTGTGTCATCCGAGACAACAAGTACAAGTAGATTTTGGGTGCCACTTACGTGTTACTCTGCTTGTTTTGCTGTTTTTCTACCTTTAATACAATTTTTTTACTCTCTTTTATTATGCTTTATAGTTTTTACACTGTTCCACTACATGAAACTACATGAATTTTACTGTATCACATTCAGATTTGATGTACTTAAAGATAATATTAATATATATTTTAGTTAAATAACTTATTTTTACTTTTACTCTCTCTCTTTTTTTGTTGTTGCTGTAGCTTGTGTTCTTTTTACCTTGCTGAGATATTTGTTTAGTCATCATTATTTGAGGTTTGGAAGCATTCACTTATGCACAGTTCTCCTGAAATCTTGCCACAGCATTTCAATCAGGCTGAGATCTGGACTTTGACTGGGCCGTTGCAACACCTCGATTCCTTGGGATTATTGTCCCGTTGAATGATCGAGTTTTGGCCCAGTTCCAGCTGTCAGACAGACGGCCTCACATTTGACTCTACAGAGGAGTTCATCGCCGATTCAACCTAAGCCATGCTGCCATGTTCTTTTTTCTGGCAACACATCCAAACAAGCCATACTTATTCAGTCTTCTTCTAATTGTATGGTCATGAACTTTAACATTTAACAGCCTCTAGAGTCTGAAATGTAGCTCTTGAGTTTCTACAGTTTTTCTGAGCATTGCACAGTCTTGTGACATTCCTGCAGAGGAGCAAACTATCAAAACCGCTGTTACAGAGATGCTGACACTGGCTCATGATTAATGATTGATGAAATGGATTTGATTAGCAGTGCCTGGCTGCTACGTACTCCCTAAAATCCTATGGAAATAGTAAGCACGCACTTTCTTTTTTCCATTTTAATATTTTGTTGTAGTTTGTGTTGAAAGGTTTGGCTGCTATAAACATATGAATTACATGATAAATGAAGTATGTGCTATCTTAACAAGGGTATAAAGTTACAAAGTGGCATTTTTTCCCATACACACTCATAGGTGAGTCATTGCGACTACTTTAGATGTAACTGAAACCCTGCGAGATTAAGAAATGTGTCAGAAATGTCTGCTGCTGTGCTAGAAAGGTGAAGGTACAGTACACAGAAGTTAAGCATGAAAAAAAACCTCCTACAGGTACTTGTATGTATGCTAAACTGCTAGACAACTGAGAACACGGTCACACTGTGTTTTATTTTCAACTGCAGCATGAAAGCCTTTTCATATCTCTACCATTTCCTCTCTGAGGCAACAGCGACTGAGGCTCATGGGTATTGTAGTGTTTTGTAGGCATCTGCCATGCCAAACTGACATTTCTCAGAAGTAGTGGCTGAAATAATTACATCTGGTGGCCACAAATGAAATTATCCAGGACTCCAGACGCACACACCTTGGAGCATGCAGCTTGCAGCACCGTGTTAAAAAACATTTGCTGCCTCAGAAGAACAATTGCACAGCCTCACCAGCATCACCAACATGGGCCATTTTGTCCCTTTGTTAGTGACAATCTGAATGTGCCCTCATGTGAGTTTCACTGTCAACACGGTTAACTTAAAGATGCTTAATCTGATGAGAGTGTCAGACTGCCAAGTTAACCCCTTCGAGCGCAAATGTTCTGAAAACACGTGATCGGCAGTAATAACAACAGCAGATGCTAATACTTCTTGTGATATTGAAACTTAACATCCTTTTTCGAAATTACCCATTTTCCCTAAAATGACTGTATGGCAAACATCAAAGTCGAAATCCTACATGCGAACTGCACACAAGTTTTTATTTTAGCAGTTAATCTTCACACCTTAATGCGAAGGAAACTTGATCATGGTTTCTGTAAGTCACCTTTTTGCCCTTGCTATCAGTTTGTCTGCTGTTGGGAAACCTGAAGGGGAAAATTAGCAGCAGTAATGGGGCAGTTTTCTTTGGAATGCCCCTTTTAGCGCGGCCGTCTAATAACAACTACAGCAACTATCTCACGGTCTCCATGTTGGCGTCTCGGGAAACACTTCAAAGAGGAACCATTTGAGTCAAAGTGGCTGCGTGTGAGCTCAGTATTAGAACGTGTGCATGTTAAACTGAGAGTCGAGAAGCTGAAAATAGTATTCCTGCACTGATAATGTGCCGCGGTGGTTATAACCACTGAGAGTGAAAGCGATGCAGCATCTGAGCCATTAAATGACTTGACAATCAGCCAGTGTGGTGTACATAAAAGAGCCCAAAGACCAGAAGAAACTGTGCAGAGTTTTGTTACAGTAAGGGCAGTAATAAGTGCTGACAAATTTTACACAAGTACTGGAACTGTTTCTTTCTTTCCTTTTTTTAAGCGCAAACATCAAAAGCTGCAGTAATAGTAAAAGTCAGTTTTTTACAGTGTAAAACTACAGATTGTCGAATATGACTCTTATTTTTTTTCTTATTATTCATCGTCGATACACAGTTTCTCCTTTTAAGCAGGGTGACTCACACTCTCGCTTCCAATTCAAAAAAATGTATCAGCTAGCACAAACAGGCTCCGATGACCCAATTTAAAATTATTTAACGTTTTGCATTTTCACCCCAATTTAACTCTATTATTTTAACTCTTGCGCTCATTCGCCTTTACACTCTTTTCACTGGGTCTCTCTCGCACAGCGACTCGTTTCTTTTCAAAATAATGCGATCGCTTAATGAAGAAAAGCACTACAGGTTAAAGAGCCTCAAATAGTTAATAGCCAGCACTTTAAACTGATGTGACTGTAATATAATTAAATTTACTTGCATTAATATAGGCATTTTAATCCCACATTCATGCAGCACTTTATTCTAAACACTTCAATAACATCATCTACCTCACATTCACAGCCGGTTTAATCACCTGTTACCCTGCATGCAATGTTGGGCTGTGGGAAGAAACCCAGGCAGGCACAGGGTGAACATGTAAGCTCCACATGGGATTCAGCCGGGATTCAAACCAGGAACCTTCTTGATCTGAGATGTTTATGTCTCAATTACTCCGGTAAGCTTGGAACTATAATCACTATTTAAAAAATACGATTAAATAAATTTGCGTTAACAACTATTCATTTGTTGCAAATAAACATAAATAAATAAAAAGTTGATTTCCAGCCTCGTCAGCTATTTCACGTTTGGCACTCCTGAAGTAATCAAAGCTTGCTATATGACAACAGATTGTCTCACACACACATGCACTCCCCTTCCGATTTACAGTAATACATACAATAGCATACAGTAAGTGTTAAATCACATGGCAGGGTGATGGTAAGCAGGCATGTTTCACTTCTCTGTATTTTATAATCTATTGTCTGGGCAAATATTGTCTTCCTTTTTTCCCCCCACTTGAGAAACATTGCCAGGTTCAGTCCTACAGTATCACGGTCTGAACTAGAAATTGTTGTTCGTGTCTTTATGTCATCATCGCGTCTTTACTGTAATTCCTTGTTCACTTGTCTCAATAAAACCTCGAGTCGAATTTGAACCTTAGGTACTCTCATTTAACACTGTTGCTAATTCAGCT